CGGCAAGCGTAATGTACGTTGTGTGCTTAGTTTCCTAAAAACTAACATACATCTCGGTATGCACTTCAAAAAGTAGCTATAGATTTTTAAACTGTCTAAAATGAGCAATTCACCTGGGTTTGATCCTCTGATTGGATGGATGTCAAACGCTCGCGCTCATTCAATTGTTCCGCCAGCTGCCTCAAGGTCAGTCGAATATTGGGAGCAGTGGCCTTCGTGATAGGAGCTCCGTGCGTTCGGAAGCCCCGTTGTTCCACCTCGGACTCTGAGCCAGAACTCTCTCGGGGCATCGGCTCGCATGACCAAATCGCTTTCGCTCGCCACGACTGTACCGCACCAACCAAGTCCGGATCCACTGGAATCAAACCGCGACGCAGTCGACCAGTAATCGTCTTCTCACTTATACTTTCCCAATCGCTGGACGAGGTCCTGCGTCCAATCCGACTGGTTGTTTCCGTAACCAGAAATACATCATCCTCGACTTCTGAGGTATTGAATCTCGGACTAGGAGGCGGAGACACGATGGACGTATCCAATGATTTCTCAAACGTCTAGAGCATTGAGAGCAAACAAACCGATGTCACGATCATAATAATACATGAAAACCCATTGAGTAATAGAGTGGAAAGTAACAAGCGAACATGTTGTCTGAGGAAACGATGCCAAAAGAAACATTTGTGCGTGCAGTAAATGCAACCAGTACGTCCTGATTCATCATAGTACCGCTGTTGCCTAAACATCACACCGACTAGGCTACTCATGAACAATAGAACTTGAAGCCTTAAACATTTGAGCATAACAGTAGTTCATCGGATGGAAACAAAATCAGACTGCGCTGGACGACAGCGTATTGTGAACATGGCGTTTTGCTTGGTTGATCCATGATTTTGCCACTCACCATCTGTTTGCTCTCTCGGTTCTGTGGCAACACAGCGGTCATACAGGCATTGCTCAAACAACTGGTCGGGGACGTCATTGTGGTCGGATCTGACTGCCACAGGCCAGGAAGACGTAGTGTGGTCTCCCGTTGTCGGGCCAACTGTTTACGATAGATGGACTTGAGCTCAGTCAGATTGGTACTCATACGAGCTTGATGTGCCAAAGGTGTCTGCAAACCGGCCCGAGCAACTCCAGGTTCTCCTACCGCGCCAGGACCGAGCTTCAGGGAAAAGGGTAACGACAATTGGAGTGGGGATGATGAGAGGAAACTAGACAGCCACTGATACATTATACAAAACATGTTGGCATACACATAAATCGATATACACTAAAAAGCAGTAAAGACAGTTGGACTGATTCAGCTTAGTTGACCAGACAAAACCCTCTCGGTCGCCCAGCTCAGGATTATATGTATTGCGGCCTAATCCAGGTGCATAGGATCAGATAATTGGCTGATACAATTAAACGGTTTGTATATGCAGTTTATTCCTTTCAATTTGAAGTGAATATAAAGTTTTCATAGGTTTATTCTGCTGTCCAGGAACGTTCAAAGACAAAGGTGTGTGTGTATTGCTGTGAGTGCTTGTGTGTGCGCGTTTCTCACCTTCGGAGTCTTCTGGTTCAGTGATGCTATCAAACGAATGATGGCCAACAGAAGGGCGTTTGGTGCATCGCATCTGGGATACTTAGTCACGTGAGTATTCAGTGGCCATTCAACGAGTAGGACCCGCGCCGAGTCAAACACGAGGCAGATTCCGAGGCTGTGAACAACGCGTGAACAACGCGCATTTCACGTAGCCGTGTGACCGGCATGTTGGCTATTGGCCGTGTAGTTCGGGTGAGGTTTACGGTTAGAGTCTCGGTGGGCTCAAACAAAGTACACACTGATGATGAATCCCAGCAAATCAGGAACGGCTGGCTATCCAGTGCTCCTGATTTCTCGTTCCATTGAGCGAAGCATTTTTTTGTCAAAAGTTTATTTTTTCTTACAGGCTGTGAAATTTGCACAACACTTGGATTAAGTATTTTTACTTCACGGAATAGGGTATAAATTTCTGTTTAAACACAGGTTTTCAGTGTGTAAAAGTTTATTGTTATGCTACATCTGTACACGTGTGTGGACGCAATAAAATGATCACCATTTAATGGCCCGTCATTAATCTAGTGGCGCATGTGGTTATCAAGTTTAACTGTGCGTATCCCCATTCGTGATCGATTTGCTTTGCATTTTTGGCCGTGTATTCATGATTACCGGAACTGAATTAAGCATGTGTTCAGATGCAACAAAATTATTCAATACAAAGTGTCCAAACATGACTTCTCTATTTTGGTTCGTTGTGGGGAGACGACTATTCAAACTACTGTTTGTTTCATTCAGTAGACTTTGGAGCATCGTCGGAATAGTACTCGGTAATCAAACCATTTAATCATTGGTAGAAATACGTTTTACATCGGCATGAGTAAGATTTCATTCGGGTGACATTTTATACCCAAATACGGTTTAGATACTAGAACAGAAAGTGAGCTGAACGAATGGGTTGTCTGACACAAACTTTTACAGAGAACAAAAGAATATGTTTCAGGGTGAAAGAATCCAATGTAGATGACATCACAATTCGATGCAAACCACGATTTTCCCTACCCTCTGCCTCAGTCACAAGATTTGGTGTGACATGATGATGGATTTCTGTTTGTTTTTCTCTTTGAGACTAACACGAAGCACCGTCACCAAGGAAACCGTACCACTTACCTTTCCATGTTAATAAAACCCTGACCGAATGCCCCAAAATAACTTCACTTTCAACTATTGCTGTAGGATCGGGATTTGGGAATGGCTAGAAATTTCAATATTATTCTATTTTTAAGTTAACTAGAACGATAAATCGAATAAAGTTCCGAGTTTGCGTTCGACGTACGAGGTCACATGTGCCTAAAGGCGTATACGAAAGACCCTAAGATAAAGCTTGTTCATCCTGTCACCCAACATCCCCATGGATGCCTTGTGCTTCGAATGCAAGTCTCACTGATATGTAAACGCACTTTCGATCGATAAATTTTCCTAAGACAAAAGACGAAATTCCAGAGAAAGATCACTCACCAGGCACATTCCAGCATTAATTCTTAGTACAGGCCGGATGTTTCATCCCAAGTTCACAAAACATAAACTGGTGTGTTTGACTTAATATGTAAGATGTTGATGTGCATGCATTTTGTGGCGGAAATAACTCAAAGCTGATCAGCAAAAGTGAAGTGTTCACTTGATCAATAGTGGAAGGTTTGTCTCACTGCGCTCATTGTTTCGAGCAGAACTCACACGTTGTGCATTGAAAACAGAAGTACAAGCATCACGGAGAAATACAAGAAACGTTTTCCCGGAGGAAATCACAGTCTCTTGGTCCACAAGAGGGTCCTTTCATAAAACCCGCCGAGGTAGGAAGAGCCGCATGTATTTAATACATTTGGTTACAGATTAGCTTACGACAATGATATGAGTGAATTTGACACTACATGTCCTTCTTCATTGTTGTGAAATAAGTATATATGACCTAAAGCACAGGTCTTCTCCATTCAACGAGTGTTCTGTGAAGGCAAATTATTAGTACTGGGTAGCTGCTTCATGCCGGCTTATATCCACCAGCGCTACATAATCTCTTTTATGTCCCTACTGGGTCTCAAACCATCATCCACAGGATTTGTGGTCGATCCCTTACCCCATTTTTACTACATTGTTGACGGCCAAAACTTGCGCACGTCGTGATACGGATTGAAAATGTTTTGGTTTTCATTCTGTTCTGGATCGCATCTCACTCCCTCAGAAGTTCAATTAGTCCCCGTAGTTGTGGTGAAGAGCACTGAAAAGTCGTTCATCCTCTTGGAGATTCACCAGTACATGCTACCAGCTTCGTAGAGATCCATCACTAACCCACATCGGATCAGGACTTCGGCTANTTCAACTAAAACCTGATAACACAGCAACTTGGCTCAAGTCAGTCAGTCAAGCTGGAAAATTTCCTTGACTTGTTAAACATCGTGGCCAAGAATTGGCAAGCAAAACGTCAAGTAAACATCATCCAAATCTGACAACTACCTGTGTAGTACCATTTTATCTTATCAGAGCAAATCAAAACATATGAAATTACCCGTAATAAAAATAAATATGTTCACTCACATCACCGATATCAGATCCAAATGTTTTAGCCTCAGGACTGGAACTGGTCAGCTGAGGCTCCACGGGCAATGAGCATTTCCTTCTCTGATTGATCTTAGTCAGAGAAATCGATTCCAAATGGCTCGGTTCCACCACGGAATTCCGATGTTTTGGTGCAGGTTCTATACTTCTTAATCGATGAGGCCACATATTGGCGAAGCAGCTTGTTGAGCGCGCTTTCGATGCGGTCCAATCTTCATCACTATCAGAACACGGTTCAGATCGAACAGCACCACCACCACCAGCAGCAGCAGCAGCAGCAGAACGACGATAAGACAGCTCCATAGGATCTGTCGAGTTCACCTTGTCCACTGACAGGGAACTGTTATTATCCGTGGAATTTGGACTCAAACTGATCTCTTGATACTCGTCCTCCTTGAGTTCGTCTTTCACAATGCTGACAGAGAAAGAAGTTTCTGTGCTATGGCTTTCTACAGACTCTACAGTCGGTGATTTGTGTTCTGACTCTTCAAAAGAGTAGCGAGTGGGGCAGAGAGAAGGAATACTCGAATTAGTTTTGAGTGAATAAACTGGGTTCGTGCATTAAAAGACAAAGTGATCAACTACCCCATTGCAACACAGTTATATAGGCCAATCTGAAAATGGGTGAGCAAGTGGCGAATATATCATGAGAGAGAGAGTTGAAGTGCGAGTGCACACTAGTAACTCACAGCAAACCAGTAATTACTATTCTTATTTGTGATAGAGCTCTCAAATTGCCATCGTTATCTGCCTCCAACGAAATTACGTCATAAAAATGCCGAAAACCATTGATGACAAATATCAGAATATTGGTTAGTTGACCCGTGATTAACGATTAACTCGCATTACAACCCGCCCTACCGCGTCGTGCGTCATGCCCTCGCCTGTTTCATTTTGGCCTAGATAATTGTGCTAAATAACGGCTGGTTACTGAAGCATGGAAAACGCACTTGTTTGCTAACGTCGCTTCCAACAGATTAATTTCATACAAAACGTTGTTGACATCACTTGGAAAAAAATAAAACAGACTGTAGTGTATAACTTTTTGTTTCGATCCATTTGATGGGAATTGGTGCAACCAAATGTGTATGCGTATGTTCCCTTATACAACATGACTGATGCAAGCCACACCAAGAGGCGAAGATGATTCCATCGATCCACGGTGCTCCCTTCGGTTTCACCTCACGTGAGCGATATATCCAATTCTTGTGCACCCCAAAATAACGGTCTTTTCTGTTGCTGTGTTTTACATAGTGTTGGCTGTGGCATCATGTGTGCCTTTCCCCGTGTACTCTTTGGTTGGCTAAAGTGAGGCTATTACAAGTTAATCATGATAGAATGCGACTAAAAACTGGGTCAAGCACCGCTTTCGATTGATCTACTCCGACCTGAAAGACACGCCCTAAACTCATATTCCTTCGCGCCTTGTTTACAATTAGAAAACAAAGAACTATGATGACTTTTACTCACTAAACGAGACGGAATATGTATAATTTTCACATGTGCTCAACTAGGGCAGATAAATTGAGCAGAACAGCAACAGAGCCACCACAGGTCCTGGTACTTTCGATATAGAGACACTGCTGAACTTCAAGGGTGATAGGCACTAACTGCTGACTGCATACATCTCTGATTTTGTGATTTTTCACCTCACGAGAAGCCGGCTTCGTGAAACACTCCATTTGGAACGGTAATACAATGTGGCCACCAGGCCTTCAACGTTTGCATAGTCGAATACAACTTGTGGATGGCCTTATTTATGCGCATATCTCAATGCGTTATATGGATATTTTTAGTGTTCCACTGCCACGTTCTTATAGATCATTGTTAGTCGTCGGAGATCGTTCATTCGCGCAATGTTTCTTATGTGATTTCAAGACAAGTACACAGTGCTATCCGATATGCAAATTGGCAAAGGCTTTGAATGAAGGAGACCCTATTAACTGTATTGAGTCACAGGTTTCCGGTTATATTTTGCTGTACATATTTATGAGTCAGGTTAAACTACCATACCGGATATATTCATTGTGATCCTGGATTTATTATGAGCTATTTAGATTCGAAGAGTCTGAGCACTTTGAGTCAGATTTTGGCACCGAAGAACACCAATTTTTCGCGTCGTTACGATTAGCCCATTCGATTTGTACAAGCGACCGGACAGTTTTTACGGTCTTCAGCGTTCTTTTCAGAGTTGGTTAATTTCTCAAATGCTCGATGCGTTTCATTCGCGACCGAATACTCTCCTTCGTGCTTGTTGTGTCTTGACATTTGTGAGTTCCAGTCGGAACTCCATCCGCGAACTGCCGGGTTGGGTCATCACAAAGTATTTTATCGCAAATGAAACACATTCCACAGATGAGGAACAGACACGCTCACCAATAATGAAACAAACAGTAGAGACCACTAAAAGTGTCTGGAGACCGTGCATACCACACGGGTTAACCCAAGCAAAGAAAGACAATTCAGAGTGAAACTCCAATGTTTGTAATGCACCCTCGAGTGAGATAAACATCATGGAGCGATTCCCATCCAAGTTTTCATTGATACTAAAAAAATCGGATAAACCAGCCCTGGGAACAGTAAGCAAAGAATTTCATGCCAATCAATGGGATAGGCGTTCCTGTGAACAGTATGGGTAAACTCACCGGCGATTGTGGAAATTTCACTTTTGGTCCTAACCACGTCATTGGATTTCTTCTCGGGTCTGAGTTTAGGGGGGTGAAGAGGTTTTCAAGAATAGGTTAGATAAAACTATTTCATTGATAAACAGTGAATTAGTGAAATAACTGAGTATTCCTAGATCAGTAAACATTTTCATCAGAACGTATGTTGTTGAAATCCAGTTAAAATTCTGAAACTAGGAACTGTATGATATTAGTAGATTTTCTATTGCAACTGGCAAATTCGCACTTTACTCAAAAGGCTCTGATTAAAAAGAAGGTTAGTCAAACACAAAATAACGCAGAAGAATTGCTTGTTAGTTACCCTAACCAATGGCATGTTCGTAGGATACTCTGCAGTATTTGAAGACGAAGTGTGTCAACTTTGATGGTTGATGACGCAAGCAAAACAGACCTTGTCGAACCACTTCATCGTCAAGGTAGCTTGATATGACCTGTCTATTGCTTCACACAAATTCATAGTGTTCCTCCAGAATTGGTAAAGTTCGGATTCTGTGATCACCACACTGCGTGGTCAATTGAATTACGGAACCTCAGGCTTTGTCGGGATTGAAGTAGTAGCCAGTAGTGGTATTTGGGAACAAATAAAACTGGTCAAAGCAAACTGACATTTATGGTGTGCTGCCAAGACATCCATCATACTCTGGACGGAAGGATCGCACTGCTCTCGGTCCGAATCCTACCCAATAAACAAAAACTAGAAAAAAAACCATTGACGTCACAAAATGCGTGCAATACAAATAAAATAACTTTTGTTATCACTTCACTTTCTTCATGCAAATTTTATTACCTTTTTTTCTGTTTACCAAAAGCTGTTTTTAATTAAATAATCTATCATTATTATTAAAAAAGAACTGTTCCAAATACCAGAACATTTTCCGATGTAAAATTGCTCACATTTCCACCTAAATAGATTCTTTTCGGGGATGCTCCATTTCATCAACAACCCTATCGTATTGTATTCCATCCAAATCAACAAACAAATTTATTATTAAATTGAACATTCTCATTGCCACATTAAATGCAAAGTCCGGTGGGAAAAACAAGCTATTTATCAATAAATTCATCAACTGACCATTATAGTTAGAAAGGGTAATTTACGTTTGTCGATCCGGTTTTGATCGCATCAATCTATATGTACGAGGAGTATGCTGGGGACCGTCTCCAGCAATACAGGTCTTTCTCATAGATAAGCTTCCCCCCCCCTCTTCCTCTCGAAACGGCATACATAGGCCTCTACAAGTTCGCTTGTTCCTGTTGGTCGAGCTACATCGGCGGAACTGTGACCTAGCTTTCAAAGAGGACTCTTGAACTCACCCCATTCCCCCTCCTTTGGTTGAGACACGGTGAAACTAGGACAGCGAAGAATTTCATTGGCTAACACGTACTGAAGGCACGGTCCTTAGTTCATGTTGATTAATCTTTCCGCATAATACACCCTCAGCTCTACCAAAACGAGTTCGATTTATCATCCTATGCACAGTGAAGGCGATCACTATCCAGAAATTAGATCCCCCCCCCCAATGAAATCAAAGCAGATCGCACGAGCTTTAGCTTTGTCATAACCCAATAATACACCCATGGGGGGAAAATCACTGATTAAGCCGAGATGAAGATCGGGTAAACTTATTCAACACACTCGCTGTGCATAGATTTAGGCGATCAAAACTAGGTTGACTAACTCTAGTAACCCCGAATAATTGTAATGGCCCATTGATGAAGTTATCAATAAACAGCTTTATTCGCCTACTAGAATTTGATTTCAATGTTCGCTGTTAGTTTTGGCAGAACCTTCTTCACCCGTGCACAGCATTTTATTATTTGATCTTGATTGATGTGCTTCGNGATCATTATCTAAACCTTATATCCCCCATAGAAACAGAAGCAGATCGTTCAGGGTTTAGCTTTGTCATAACCCCGGTTAAAGAAACCCAATAATACACCCATAGGGAACAAATCACTGATTCGTTTTAGGCAAATAAAACTAGGTTGACGAACTCCGGTAACCCCAAATAATTGTAATGGCCCATTGATGAAGTTATCACTAAACAAAATGATTCGCCTGCTAGAACTTGTTTTTAATATTCGATGCTAGTTTTGGCAGAACTTTCTTTACCCGTGCACAGCATTTTATTATTTGATCTTGATTGATGTGCTTCGTGGTTGAATACTTATTAAAAATACCTAAAACAAAAATACTGGCTACAAACAATTGGCAAGCCGTTTGTCCTATCGCATCACCGCCTAAATGGATGAGGAACACAATCGTATATTTGCAACCGAACTTTTCTCAATGTCCGACAGTCAATGAGTTGGGACACTACTGAAATCAGTTATAAACGTCTAACTTCCTTCCTTGAACGCATACTCTGGGATTTAATCTGTATTTGAAGATCGTGTAAATATGATACCTAATAAATTGTGTTCATTAAATTACGCTATTACATCTGACTGTTTCATCCGTACTAGTTTTGTAATCGTGTCTGCAAGGTGATTAGGACCTCATTTGAGTCTGCTCCAACTTGTCTAATCACTCGCGGAAGTGCACAACGCATCGGTTTGTTGTTGTTGTTTTGTTCGTTGACACGGCTACCAGAAACTACGACCTCATTCTAATCCAGCGTTATATCACCTTTGAACCATAGAGTAGAACAACGCCCGCTGATCCAGATTGTGTACACGACAGTGTTTAGCGGTTCACGCAATAATCGCGGTTTCAATGGCGTATACGGGAGCCCCGCAGATTGACATCAACACCCAGTATATATATATATATATATATATATATATATATTAAATGGGTTGGATGCTACTAACCGCAACAAACGTCACCTGATGGTCTTGGTAGAATATTTGATAATAAGTAGTATTCTGTTGCAGTTGGTAGCATCTAACCCACTTACAAAACATTGAATCATAGCATTGATTCTTCATGGGACTGGATCTGAAAAAGCTGTCTATCCAATGGTCACCCGATGCTGCAAACAATGTTATTGTGACGAAAATACACTTCCTGGGTACAAGTATATGAATGAACTGACAAAAAGTTACAGGATACGCACGCCTGACGAATGGCAAGAGCCGCGAAACCGGTGGTGTGCTTCCAAAGAAATTTTGTCCAATCATACACATACTACTTGTTATCAAATATATATATATATATATATATGTATATCATATGCTACTTATTACGAGGGACCACCAAGAAATCAGTAGTAGATTAAATCACCATGTTCGCTTGGGTTTGGAAATATGTGCTTAACATAAACGCACAAAACACCACGAGGTAGACAATTAGGTGCACTTTAAAACCGCCGAACCACTAAGGCGATTGTGCTCTGGCCTAATTCGTCCATCTATCGGGGCTGTACACTTGATTGCCTAATAAAAACCAGTGTGACTCATTCCATGCATTCGAGCACAATGATCCGAATTGCGGTGAGAATGTACACCACCATGGAATGATCGACAGGGCCACGCACATGAGTGAAACAAACCCGAAAAGGACAAATCTGGATCAATTTGAAACAAACCAAACTCACTGTACAGGTTTGTGTCGCTTTTCCATTCCACTACCCTGAAGTACAACCATCTGTTGTGCCCGTCCTGATTTCCATCGATTTAACAACCTAAACGGACCGGTCCCATTGTTCAAATTGGCCGTCTCCAAAAGATTGCTTGTATTCTCCGGCACCAGGGGAGCAATATTGTAGGTGAATTTCTCTCGCAGTTCTTTCACATGCGGATACGGGAACGGGGCGAGCTCGTAGATCTCGAACAGTAGTTCCTGGGTGCTCACTATTCGACCTTCAGCGAAATCGTTCATCAGGTCGTTCATTGTGGCGTAGAACTGATCAGCAGATTTGAGGCGTAACAAACGGCTTATCGTTGGACAGAAAGAGAGAGAGAGAAAAATCGTTAGACAAAATACGAGGTAATCACGACCATTGTATGATGGATTTCGTAATGCGGAATTTAGTGGAACATGGAAACATGAATACAAAATGTGCACGCTATCCGAATGAACCTTTATTAGGAAGTCAAAAAGGGAAAGCTGAAAAGCAACACTGCGTTATAAGCGGAAGTCCATTTTATTTGTTTGGGACCGTAAGATGGATGACAGCAATCAATTTCATCCACCCACGTTGCGAAACATTGATTCACTGTAAAAGCACTCTTTTGCAGAGTTTCTACCTGACTATTAGGTCGAAAGTAGTAGCATCAGAATGTGTCATGCAAGTATGTATAGGGTCAAATTAACCGGTCTAGCCGGGGGTGGTCACACCGGACGTGACAATATTCATGTTCACTCGCAATCAATCGAACTTGTTACGTAAAGACGCAAACGTCCTTGGTAGTTCAATTGCACGCTGAGCCCTCGCTGATTATTCAGTGAGGCAAATAATCTCAGAGTCAAATGATCTAATGGTCGGACTTAAAACGCAGAGTGGGAAAGCATCTTAGGCTAATGCATTTGCATTTAAGTTGAAAATAGAAATAACTCCTTAGGCATGAAGGATGCAAATGTCTAAGCCTGAAACGGGTGGAAAAAGTGGGATAAAACGGATCGGGTTGCAAACTTTTGATTTAATGAATTATGTGGGAAATTGTAAACACGGTGAACGTCATCAGTCTGAGGGAGTAATTAGTTATAAGTGTGTATGGGTAGCAAGAAGGTCATTAGAAGTAATCCAAAACAACTATCATTTTCTCGAAATATAAGTCGATATGTGTTTGAGAGCGATACAAGAAGAATGTAAAATAAGTGACGATTAAAATATTCCCATCGTTCATATGACTCACCTGGAGAGAAATTCCATCATAACGACCGCAGTACGCAGGATCACCTCAGAGCCTTCAAGCATAATGCTGTCCCAAATGCGTAAAACTGCGTCTCTTGAAAGACAGGTGGCGAACAGTGTTAAAAACCACTGAATTATGAACACGTTCATCAACGGCGGCTCGTAGACTCCTTGCTGTCTGATCTGACCCAACTCCAACATTGTGATCGACCTGTGCCCCATATTCATGGTGGCCTGTGCAGCTGCGTGGAAAAGGGAACGAGGTCACTGTGGTAAATTCTGTGGCGTCCATCTCAATGTTCAGAAAACTAAGTTTGAAATCATACTGCCTGAAAGTGATATAAAATAGTTGATCATCATCATTAACACCACCATCCTTTCCGATATGTTCGTTTCTCTTACGGATAAAATCTGTGAAAATGGTGAACAGACAGGTTTTGCTGTGAGCTGTGCTGGTACGACGGTCCAGGTCGAACTACCACAGTCGAATAACTCGGTCTTTCACTGTCCCCCGGGGATATCCTTCTAATTGCCCGCTTCCGCGGCATCTTCCCGTAAATCCACCGTAAAACTTTTGACTCGGTAAAAGAAACTATTATCTTAGAAAACGAATTCAGTTATCATGAGATAAAAAGCTCAATCAGAATGTGAAATTCTCAAATTAATGTTCATTTTGAATAAAACTATAAATGGGACAGAAATAGAAGGCGCACCTGCTTTCAGTTGCAGTGTGTCCAAATGATGCGCCAATCGAGGAAGCCTGGCCTGTAGCAGATGCCGGAACACCGCAATATCAACAGATAGAGCTTGTAGATTTTGAGCAAAGTACGATTCGGGAAGCACGTAATCGATCAGATAAACCATGACCTGAGAGAAATGAGAGAGAGAGAGAGAGTAAAAAAGGGCAAATGATCGGGGCAAGCTGAGTCAGACTTGACTTGTTCCCGAGAGTTTAAATACACGTGACCGAGGCTCTTCCTATCCAAAAGCTGAAATCCTGTTAACATATGTATCACCAGACATTTCTATATCGGAGCCTCACAACGCATTGAGAAGAGCGCGTTATGATTACCGCTGCGTGATTTGGACCATACAACTGTTGCAATTACCTTGAAAGCTTCCTGTTCGTCTCGGTCCATCACGTCCAATATGGCTGCTGCGATCATGTTGAACCCTTGACAATATCCAACACGTTTATTCCACCGTGCATAGGCCAATAAGACTCGCTTCAATGCAGCCCGGTCCTCGTCTGAACCGAATTCATTACACCCTGTTCGATGCAAATCCTTCACTATCTGTGATCCGAGACTGTCATCCTCTGTATTCTGGTAGTCATCACTGAAAGCCAGGTGAACCACGTGATCCCAGTCCACGTGTTGCGTGGCCAACTGACGCTCGGCCAGAGCAGACCATACTCGTCGCCGAACAAATTTGGGTAAACCATCTCCGAGGCGAGCCGTGCGTCTCATAGCCTCACGCCACTCATTAAATGCTTCGTCTCCAGCTCTGGGTTCTGTACTAAATCGAAAACGTGCGTCCGTACCTTGAAGAAAACAGGGGAGGGACAACAGGTCGACTACATGCATTTGAAATTGTTGAATGCATAAAGGAATGCCTTTCGAAAACAATAATAACTGCTTTTTCTCAGTAATAAAAGCTTAAAAACGCAAGCCCCAGCTTTTAACAGTTTTCTCTCAGCTCTGCTCCGAAAAGAAGCCGTAATTAAGAATTTTATATATCGGATGAGTTGACGAGATACAAGAAAAGTGACGAGTCCGGTGAGTGCATAAACGTCAAAAGAGACTAACTTTTGGCTCCTTGCTGTCTGAATCGCAAACCGTTGGCCTAAACAACAAGGAATAATAACTCAGCGCAAACTTTTTCATCTACTGATTTATCTGTGATAAAACGGTGGTTGGTCTTTGCTGACTTGTTCTGTCTGTGGGTCTCAGTCAGATCGAGATATATCTAACAGAAGGCAGCCTGAAGTGCTCAGTTGCGTCTAATCTCGCCTTATTACCAGAAAGGTTAAAACAAGCCGGTGGAGGCCTGAAGCAGTTGATACATGGGGGTTGTCTTCTCGGGTTACGACTTGTAACCCTTTCCTTGCGCCTCGCGAAATGTTCCCATACGACCAAGCGTCTGAAATAGCCTCTGCTAAGGAAGCCATAATCACTACCTTCTCGTGACGGAGGTATTTTCCCACCTAAAGCCAATATCCTGGTCCATAGCCAGTTCCTGATTCCAATTCAGCCAAGAAGCGGTGCACGAACCGAACACAAACACCTTCTTGGTTGTGTCAGTGGTCACCGACTCGGTTGGATATCGATGTTCGTTCAGATAGACAATTTAGGGCCGGATTATTTTGAGATGCAACTAAGAATCACTTGCCAACAGGGACCGGCCGGCCATCCTCGGCCCAAATGAGGATAGTCCTTGAATGCATTTCCATCGAACTGAGACGACACGTTGGTTATCTTTATTACATATGAATAAACCGCTGGGTGGGAATTGTGTACCAGTGCAGCTGGTCAGGCAGAAAACCCCAAGCAAGATGAACACAAACAAATGTGAGATGCCTGCTATGCAGTTTATTTCAAAGCTACACAGAGAGAGAGAAAGTCCAGAAAACATGGAAAAGTTAGAAAGAAACATTTGTAGAAATGTTTACTCAACCTTTTGCTCGTAGTTAGGTGTTCAAACAACCAATATTCTATTGTGAATTTTGACATTGAAGAACACGGAAGATATCTAACTATTCCACTGATTCTGCTTTATAGTTGAGTTTTCTTCCTTTTTAAAACCCTTTCTATCAATTCAGTTAAAGCCAGTCATGTCAAAGTACCATCAAGTTACACTTCAGGGACCTGGAAATCGTCCAAAGTTTCTATCAGTTCCAACAGAAACTGAAGTGAACGGCCCTCTGAAAATAATGTGTATCGTCTATCCGAACCTATGATCTGCATGGTTCTCCCACATGAAATGTGCATCCGAATTCATGTACAATTGGAAACTGCTGCATGAACAAACACTTTGTCTTAACAAAAGTAACTGTGTGATCACTGGAAGACAGTATAGTTATAAAGACATCTTTCTTCATTGGAAAAACATCAGAAATAAACATATCAGACATCTGGAGTGTAGTATTTTTGTTTCCTAAGGAAAGAAACCTCATTGCATTCAGTTACATACATATTGTTCTTTCATACGTTAGTTCTGGTCGCCTACACATTGAGATAAAAAAATAGGTGAAAGATGTAGAAAGATTGGAGGCGGTCGGAGGATGAAAATACAGGCAGTTGGATTAAATTGGTGAACACAATTTATTAGATGCGATACTGTCTATTACGCACTGCCACGGAACCCAGTTTATCTAGATGATGATATCGCAGTGACTTAGTTGCTATCATCGGTGTGCTTTGGACCCTATGGTCCTAGGTTCAAGCCCCACCAAAGACTCCCAACTTTGATGGTAGACAGCGTCGCTGTCGTCCGGTTCAACATTAAGCCTGACCTGTCGGGGCCTTATGCGGTTTGCCACTCCAAGTCCCAGGGTTTAGGTTACCGGTTTCCATCGCTAAACAGCAGATTCTCATGACTATGGGGTCCGCCCTGTCTGCTGTTAACTACACCAACGTGTAGTAAGAAAAATATAATCATTGCTTACGTTGGTTACAAGTTTCACAACCGGGAACCCGAAAGCAACACAGATGATCGAGGATCCTGTCTTGGATTTCTTTTCATCCTCAGTTGAACAACCCTTAAAATTATCCCAATTGCGACACTCTTCAGTCAACACCGCTTTGTAATCGCTGGTGAGCGTCGTATGAACTAATCCAAACATGAGATCATGCATTAGTGTAACTACTCACACCAGGTCTCGGCCGTCAACATTGTAGGTCATGGAGTTTGGCTCCGGGTTACCGGTTGGAAAATTGGCGGTTCTGGTCCCGAGTGACAAACAAAAAATATGCACCACGGACAAAGCTTGACAGGATCAGAACAGGTGTGCTACAAATTTTTTGACCGTTAAGCAAAATTTTCCATCACATTTAAAAAAACAGATGTTGTTTTAGCAGTTTCTTTTGTTCTTATTGGAGTCTTATAGTACATTAACCCATATAGGCGAACATGCGTAATTTGACGACCAATGGACCCGAGGTCATGAGCTTTACCGATAACTTATTAGATACTCTATCATCAATTTCGCATGGCCAAAGATCAGCCCGAATTTGACGTTAATTCCGGAGGACCAAATCCATACACAGACTGAACAGGTAGCCTGCACTAGTATTCCAGCAGTGGAGTAAACACACACATATGTGACAGTCCCGTGGCTTTTCATTTCCGCTTAGCTACATGAGTACCCCATGTACATGATATGAACATTCACCCCGATTTATTTCATTTATATGAAGATTAGCGAATTGCGAACGACCGCGTGTGATGCAGACTACTGATTGCTTTGTTAACGTTAATGAAAACGTGAGCCGAGGTACGGGAGAGGGCGGAGGTTTCGTTGCGTTTAATGTCACCGTTCCAACTCTTGCACCCAATCACATCACATGAATCCAACGTGAAAGATAGTGTGCGCAGATATGATGTGCACATTGTAGGCAGGTTCTGTGCCCATACAACTGTCGTCCCGTTTCGAGAAAAGCACATAATCATAAGCGGCTTTCAGTGGATTGTGCCATGTGGCTGAATCTCCTCGTATATCACCCCAGTGTTTTTCCTCAAACACTGGTCTACTCAGCGTTTTTATAGGAATTAGTGATAAATTTAGTGTTATTTCATCGCTAAAAAGCTGAATAGTAGAGCAAAATAAATCGTTAGTACACCTCCATTCAGGGTTGTATAGGAAGCAGAAGAAGACAATGCGCATAAATGACAGCATAACCCCGTTGCGCCCTGAAAATTACCATGTTTGCTACAATCTTTTCTCTCGTTAAGGAGGCACTACAAACATCCGAGGTTAGGACAGTCTTAGTGGACATTCAAAGGCATTTTTTGCTGAACGGACAGGAAACCGTGCCTAATCAAAATGGTTGACAAATCCTCAAGTTCGTCGGTCAAAGTTGTATATATATATATATATATATATATA